ACACCGGCAAGGTGCTGCCACTGCTGGTAAAGATCCTGCTCCTGTGCAGAAAACTAAGTCTACTGCATCTACTGCTTCCTCTTCTCAAATCCCTGCTCCAGTGGTTGTTACTGAGGTAGAACAGATGCTTGATCCTAGATATAAGGAGATGATTTGCTTTAATTGTGGGGGCCCTGGCCACTATGTGGGGAACTTGTTTCATTTGCCAACAAAATCATAATGTTAATAATTGTGCTGCTTGGGCTAAGATTCAACCTTCAGCTACTTTTTTTTGGAAGTGGAGCTAGTGGTCTTGGTTTTTACCATGTGGAGGTTCCTGCTGCTACTAAGACCAAGTGGTTGAATTATCAGAATTGTGCTATGGTGAATATCATCAAGGGAGAGGTTCAAAAAACTGACCTTCATGGCCTATTGTCTGCTGTTTTCTGCAAGAATAGGCAATGGCCATGGCAAGTGAGAGAGTTGTCAAGCTAGACTTTCTTAGTCAGGTTCCCACCATGGAAAATTGCTGAGGATTTGATTGAGTTCCTAGCCTTTGATCTGCCTAAAGATGGTGTAAATGTGAATGTGACTGAATGGAAGGGAGCATGTGATCCTTTTGGAGAACTGGTTGAAGCCTGGGTATTGATTGAGAGCATACACCTAAATGGTGTACCTGGAGGGTGTTCTGTCAGATTGCACTACAAGAAATATGTCAACTTGTGACTAGCACTATTGGTCACTGTTTTTAATTTGTGACCTTTTTGTGACCAAAAACATAAGGTCAAAAGCTGGCAGTCGTAAACTGACTATAGCGACCTTTCTTCTGAATTGGTCGTAGACGTTTATGACCAAAATACGTCTACTGTGGCGTTTTGATCACTAACAACCTCCCCATGCCACGTAGGCATCCAGCGTGGCAATCTGATGTGGCACAAGATTCAGCCTGGTCCAATTCAGCGTTTTACATGGGCCGAGCCCATTAATTCAGCCTTTTATTATTTTTTCCTTGTTAATTCTAGTCGGCTTCATGGGCCAAGCCCAACATTGTAGCCTTTTTTATTGTTGGCCCGTGGCCTTTTATTATTTATTGCTTTTCTATTTTCAGCCATTATATATTCAAGCTGGTCCCACTAGTCAGATGGGTCCCACTTGTCATGATCATCTCTCAAATTGGTCCCACATGTCAGAAATGTACAAATTTGACAGATTATTTTCATAAGTGGACCCATTGGTCAAGTTTCCATTTCACAAGTTTTCAGATCACATACATAATAAAAAAGAATCATCAAATATACCACTAAATAAATCTATTACAATCCTTACAACGCATATATGCTACAATATGCTACTCTTCACTAAGTAGAACTTGACGGCATCACACTTCACGGCTTCACACTTGCTTCACACTTCACGCTTGAGCATCTGTAAAAGAGGAACAACCACAAATTTAAATCTCAATTGCAGTATAGGCCATATGCAGAAGCAGTTCAAAGTTGAAACAACATCAATTAAACACACGCACACAGAAACATAGGAGTCAAAATGCAGTATAGGACCAGGACAAGGAAACTCCTGTTATCAAATCAACACACAGCTTGTAGCAAAACAACAACATAATACATTATAACGAGAGTAAGCTTGAATCAAACAGCACAAAAACATGTGGATATTTCATGTGAGCATCATGATGTGGTTTTATTAAACAATGATACAACAACAGAATACAATATCTTCATGCAAATTATGGTACTGTAGCAAAACATTTTGAAACAACAACTACACAATACATTATAACAAGAGTAAGCTTGAATCAAATAGAAAAGGGAACAGTTTCGAGTTTAAAAGTTAAAGCATTTGCAAGATATCCCAACTTGCAAGTTGAAGAGGCATAATTCAGAAACTTGCATCGGGGCACTATAATAAGAGTAGCATTCGACTTGACACATGGAACAACGACACAAAAGAATTATGGCTCAGTGTATGTACGTCGACTTGTTGGTGTAGATGGTCCAGTTGATGAAGAGCTCTGACAGCATGGCTCCGAGCAGCCCGAAAAGCGCACTGGAGGTGCAATTCCACCGAGAACAGCACTTGACTGAAATAGCAAGAAATCGTTAGCCTCTACCCTCTAGTCTGGTACCACATTCCCACAA